GCCCTCCAGCCCCTCCCCTCCGCCCCCGACTGGCTGGAGCGGAGCCCAGTGTCCCCACCGCAGGGGTGGGGAGAAAGCCGAGCTCCTGGTAGGCGCTCTCGGGACCCTCTGCCCCCAGTCTTCTGAGGCACTCCTCTTTCCTGGGTGGGCTGGGCTGCGTCGCCTCCTGGGTTTTAAACCTGGGGCACCGCAAAGGGTGCCTCCCCGCCGTGAGCCCGCTCCTGCCCGCGGCGTTTAACGCACCCTCTCTCCGCTCCCGCCCGTCTCAGCTGCGCGCTGCCGCACCCAGTCCCCTCGCCCCCTCCAGCGGGCCCCATCTCCCAGCTGGCGTCCCCCCCGCGGGATCCCCCGAGCCGCGGCTCCGGCCAGGCTGTTGTACTTTGAAGTAATGAGCCTTCCCCGTGAGGACGCAAGCCCGCACCTGCCACGGCCTCACCCCTCCCCGGGGAGCCCATGTCCCAGGCGCCGGGGCTTTGGGTCCCAGCTCTGCCTTTTATCCGGTGGGACAAGTCAGTATCCACCTTCCTGTGCCTCCCGTTCCTTATCTGTCTAGTAGGGGACAGGTAAAGTGCCTTCCAGCTCTGTGTAACTGGCAGACACGCCTGCCTGAGGGGAGTTCCCTACTAGATGAGACGCGGGACCCGCCTGACCCGGGCCTGGCTCTTAGTAGGTCTGCCTGGAAGGACGTGTGCAATGAGTGTCTGGCGGAGAGAAGGGAGGGGGAGAGGCGTTTACAGAGGGCCTGGGAAGTGCCTTAGCGCGTTATCTTAGGCTACCCAACCCACACTTTTAGGCAAGTATCAGCCTCATTTTAACGATGAAGAACAGGCTCCGAAAAGTTAAGTGACTTGCTCAGTCTTGCTGCTAGTAAGAAAAAGCCAAGCCTTTTGCAAGCACTAGACATCACCATCCCCACCAGCAGTGGGTTACGAGCTAGAGTTCGCCCCCAGGCCAAAGGAGGCTGGTGCGTCCAGGGAGCCCAGCGAGGGCGGGGCTGCTGGAGGCTGGTCTGGGGAGAGGGAGGGCGTCCTGGGCAAAGGATGTGGAGGGATCCAGAGGGATAAGAGAGGAGAGCGCCCTCCAGAGGAAGGAGAGAGGGGAGGAGCCCCTGGGGCACAGAGGCCCGAGCGGAGTGTCGGAGATGGGAGAGCTGGGTGTTGGCCCCATATGCCGTAGGTCGTACGCGAATTTCCAGATGGGAAACTGAGACCTTCAGGTGCGCTCGTCAAGGGCACCATGTGGTCGTCCCTGTTCTGGAGCGCGCGCTCCGTGCTGACAAGGGAACCTAAAGAGATTTGCGGGGGGCTTAAAGTGTCGGGGCCCGCCCCCCAGAATGTGTATGGGGGTGGACAGTGTCCTGCACCGAGGCTCCGCCCGCCCGCCCTGGCGCGCCGGCCGTATTTGGACATTTCGTTCTATTTTTAACTTTGCCTGGACTCGAGGTTGGGGGGGGAGGGAAATCCTTCTTCCTCTGGGATCCACCGGCCTCAGCCCCTGTCTCTTGCCTGGCCTGGCCGTGTAGTGTAGACACAAGCCCGGAAGTGGGTTCCGGGTCCGTATAGACGCGGCGGCCGCGCGGGTTCCGGGCTCCACCCTGGAACCAACGACGTCCCTCCAGGAAAACCTGACTCAGGCGGAGCCCAGCCCGGCGGGGAGCCCCACCCCCGGCCCAAGGGCCCCCTTAAGCCCCTTCCCCAACCCCACTAGCTAGAGAGGGACCCTGAGTCCTGGCCCAGAGGGGGGCGGGGGAGGTCGGGGAGTCCCGCGCTTCTGAGGCCTGCGGAGGGGGCGGTGCGGGGGGCGGGCTGGCCCCTCCCTCGCTGACGCCGCCGCCGCCGCCACCGCCGAGCCCCGGACCGAGAGCGCGGGCAGCGGAGCGGGGCGCCAGGCCAGTCCGGCAGGATGCGCTACCGGGCGTCGGTGAGCCAGGGTGGCGGGCAGGGCTGGGGTCCTGGGTGTCCCTCCCTGCCTTGCGGCTTCGCCTTGGCCCAGCCAGGAAGCGGGCGCGGCCCAGGAATTTCGGGTGGAAAAACGTCCCGGAAAGTTGCAGGAGGAGGAGGCCGAGGAGGGGAGGGCCGCTTGGACCCTGGGCTGGACGATTAGCTCCTGGGGACTCCTGAGAACACCAAGACCCCTCACCCGAGGACCCAGGGGCGGGGACTGCGGCCAGATTTGGCAGCAGCTTTGGGGCGGGGTTGGGGGGGCGGTGAGGGACAAGCCCGGGAGAGGCAGGCCCCCAGCCCGGAGGAGTGCCCCAGGCCAGAGATCTGGGGCCATCTGTGGTCAGAGGATACCTGGTGGCCTCTTCGGGATCCACACCCCACCACCACCACCACTTTGCTCCTCTCTGACCCTTGACACTCTTAGTGTCAATTTTCTAGAGCCCCCAGACCCTTTTTGGAGAGGGTATCGCAGCTCTGATTGCGGGGCTGAGCCTACAGGACCTGGAGGCAGCTGGCTTTCTATGGTAAAACTCCCACCCCTTGAGGCTTCTCAGGACTCTCAGGGGAGATGGTGTCTGGGAAGCCCCGCAGCTGGAGGGGAGGGAGTGGCCCCAACTACAGCGGGGAAGGGCCACCCCCTTCTGGAGTGGGTGTTGAGCCCAGCTGGGGTGGGAGGCCCGCTGGGGGAATCCCTCTTCTGTAGTCTGGGGGTGGCCTCTTCCTTGGTGCTAAACACCCTGAACCTGGAGATTTGGGTGGGTAGCGTTGGGAGAGCTGGCCCCACCCTGCCTGCAGAATTCACTCTGCGACATTTGTCCTCCAAAGCACCTGTCACACGTGGCCCAGAGCTAAGAGACCTGAGATTACCTGGTCTAACAACTCCTCCTCCTTGAGGAGGAAGCAACCCCCAGAGAGGAGGAGATTTGTCCAAGGTCAACAGAGCATTCTTTCTGCTACTCCAAGGTGTTCCTTCTCCTGACCCCGCTTCTCCACACAAAACCAGTGCCTCCCTGGATCCCGTGGCCGTGCCCCCAAGTCCTCTGCATTCTGTAGGCTCCAGAATCTTGTGTCCAGGTCCCATGTGCCACACATGGCTTCTAGTCTGGGTATCTGTGTCCTCAGTGTCCATGGGCCAGCATACTGAGACCCAGGCCCTCTGTACCCAGCATGTTCCATGTCTCGTGTCCAAGCCCCGTGCCACATGTCCCTGCTTCCCGTCAGTCCTGCAGGCATAGTGGCATTACCTTACCCTGATGGCTCTGACCCTCTTCCATGGCCCATTCTCTGCAGGCTCTGGGCAGTGACGGGGTGCGGGTGACCATGGAGAGTACACTGACCGCCCGTGACCGGGTGGGGGTACAGGATTTCGTGCTGCTGGAGAACTTCACCAGTGAGGCAGCCTTCATCGAGAACCTGCGGCGGCGGTTCCGGGAGAACCTCATTTACGTGAGGCCGGAGTGGGGAGAGGGCTAGGGGTGCTGGGGGTCACAGACATGGGCCGAGGGTTACTCTGAGGTAGCAGGGACCTCTGGGACAAACTTTTGACCCTCCTCCCCCAACCCCCAGACCTACATTGGCCCGGTCCTGGTCTCTGTCAACCCCTACCGCGACCTACAGATTTACAGCCAGCAGCACATGGAGCGTTACCGTGGCGTCAGCTTCTACAAAGTGCCACCCCACCTGTGAGTGGCCCCCAGCCCTCCAAGAGTGACTCCCCCATCTCTGTCTGAGATGGCCCCACCTGACCCTCACTCTAACATGACCCCTGACTTCCCACTTTGGTGAGTCACTATTCACATCTGTGAGGAGTCCTGTAATCTCTCACCCTAGAGTAACCTCAGTCTCCACCAGAGGTGACTCTCTCAGCTCCATCTGGGTGGGACCCTCAGTTCCTCCTCCCCTCACACCCATGACTTATTGCCCAACTGTACCTGGGCATGGTCCCCCAACCTTCATGACCCCTGACCCCCACCTACAAAGACCTCCCAACCCTACCTGTGAGTGACCCTGTCAGTCCTTCATCTGAGCATGGCCCCTCCTGAATGGTGAAGGATCTCCCTTGATCCACACCTACCAGGGACCCCCATCCCCACCCTCCAGGGTAAGCCCCCACAGGGGAACTCCCACCCACAGGGGAACTCCAACCAGATATGGAAGTGGCCCCCCGAGTCCTACCCGTGGGACTCTGCCACCAGGGCCCTCCACCCCTGCAACTGCCTGATGAGCCTCTGTCTGCCTCAGGTTCGCAGTGGCCGACACTGTGTACCGAGCACTGCGCACGGAGCGCCGGGACCAGGCCGTGATGATCTCCGGGGAGAGTGGCGCAGGCAAGACGGAGGCCACCAAACGGCTGCTGCAGTTCTATGCAGAGACCTGCCCAGCCCCTGAGCGGGGCGGTGCTGTGCGGGACCGGCTGCTGCAGAGCAACCCAGTGCTGGAGGTGAGGGTACAGCAGCATCTGAGGGGATGGGGGGGCAGGGAGAGAATGCCAGGCGTCCCTCATACCCCGTACACTCCTAGGCCTTTGGAAACGCCAAGACCCTCCGGAACGATAACTCCAGCAGGTTTGGGAAGTACATGGACGTGCAGTTTGACTTCAAGGTACCTGTGGGTGTGGCAGGGCGGGAGAAGGGGTGCTCCCATTCGGCAGGCTCAGTATGTGTTGAGTGCCTGCTATGTGCCAGGCACTGATCCGGATACTGGTGGTTTGGCAGTGAAGCAGACAGAAACCCTGCCTCCCGAGGTGATGAGACAGTAAACAGAAAAATAATAATCTAGGCCATGGCAGAAAATAAAATAAGGTAAAGGCTGGGAGGCAATTGCAATTTTAAGTAAGGCAGATAGGGTAGGCCTCACTGAGAAGGTGGCATTTCAGTAAAGGCTTATGGCAGACAGAGGAGCGAGCTGTGCACATACCCAGCGGGGAGAGAGTCCAGGCAGCAGGGGTAGCCAGCGCAAGGGCCCTGAGGTGGGGTGCCACTCGATGTGTTCACAGACAGCAAGGAGGCCACAGGGGCCAGAGAAAAGAGCAAGGTAGGCCGGGCACAGTGGCTCATGCCTCTAACCTTAGCACTCTGGGAGGCCAAGGCAGGAGGATTGCTTGAGCTCAGGAGTTCCAGACCAGCCTGAGGAAGAGTGAAAACCCTTCTCTACTAAAAATACAAAAAATTAGCCGGGCATGGTGGTGCATACCTGTAGTCCTAGCTACTTGGGAGGCTGAGGCAGGAGGATCGCTTGAGCCCAAGAGTTTGAGGTTGCTGTGAGCTATGCTGACTCTTTCTCAAAAAAAAAAGGAAGGAAACTGAACCCCCCTCCTCACTGCCCCCCTTAAACAAAATTAAAAGAAAGAAAGAGAGAAAGAAAGAAGGAAAGGAAAGGAAAGGAAAGGGCAAAGGTCTGGGGAAGGTGAGGCCAGATGGTACAGGCCCTTTTGGGTCTTTGCAAGAACTTTTTTTTTTTAAACTCTGAGTAGAAGGGGAGTCACTGGAGGGTTTTGAACAGAAGTGTGTCGTGATCTGAGTCTCTTCTTAAAAAGATCACTCTGGCTGCTCTGTTGGCAATAGATGGCAGGGGAGCCAGGCCAAGCCAGGAAACCGGTTGGGGGCTGACGTAATAATGCAGGTGACAGATGACGGGGGCTCAGACCAGTGTGGTGGCAGTGATTGGATTCTGGATGTTTTGAAAGTTAAGGCTGCAGGATTGGCTGTCTGATTGGATGTAGGGGACAGAAGAAAAAGAGGCTTCCGTTTGAGGAGGGGGAAGATGAGGAGTTGAGTTTCAGGCCTGTTGAGTTGGAGATGTCTGTGAGGCACCCACATGGAGATGCCAAGTAGATGGAGTTGAATCTCCCTGTTTCTTGGATTAAGAAACTGAGGCCAGGCCGGGCGCAGTGGCTCACGCCTGTAATCCTAGCACTCTGGGAGGCCCAGGCGGGTGGATCGTTTGAGCTCAGGAGTTCGAGACCAGCCTGAGCAAGAGCGAGACCCCGTCTCTACCAAAAATAGAAAGAAATTAATTGGACAGCTAAAAATATATATAGAAAAAATTAGCCGGGCATGGTGGCGCATGCCTGTAGTCCCAGCTACTTGGGAGGCTGAGGCAGGAGGATCGCTTGAGCCCAGGAGTCTGAGGTTGCTGTGAACTAGGCTGCCACCACGGCACTCTAGCCTGGGCAACACAGTGAGACTCTGTCTCAAAAGAAAAAAAAAAGAAACTGAGGCCAGAGGGGGTATCGTGCCTGAGCCTACACAGCTAGTGGAAGCACTGGAATTAGAGCCTAGGTCTGCCCAACTCCCAAGCCCAGGAGTGCAGAGGAGAAAAGGGAAGATGGGCTCTATTCTCCAGCCTGTGACCAATCCCTGTGCCCTGTCCTGCCCACAGGGTGCCCCTGTGGGTGGCCACATCCTCAGTTACCTCCTGGAGAAGTCTCGAGTGGTACACCAGAATCACGGGGAGCGGAACTTCCACGTCTTCTACCAGCTTCTAGAGGGGGGTGAGGAGGAGATGCTACGCAGGCTGGGCTTGGAACGGAACCCCCAGAGCTACCTGTACCTGGTGAAGGTGAGTGGCTGGCAGGTAGGGCAGGTGCCACACAGGGGGCCCAGTGCCAGGGCTGGCAACCCAGCTGTGCCCTTCCTCCAGGGCCAGTGTGCCAAAGTCTCCTCCATCAATGACAAGAGTGACTGGAAGGTTGTCAGGAAGGCTCTGACGGTCATCGACTTCACTGAGGACGAAGTGGAGGTGAGGCCTCTTCTGGGGACCCTCCCTTTTTTCCTGTCATACCCCAAAGGTCTCCTTTTACTTTTAAAACCCATTTCCACTTCTGGCCCCTCCTCCTCTCAAACACTTCACCTGCTCCTTGCTCATCTCACCATCCATCTCTTGGGGCTCTCTGCCCCCCTCCTTACCTGTCCCCACCTGCTCTCCCAGGACCTGCTGAGCATCGTGGCCAGTGTCCTACATTTGGGCAACATCCACTTTGCTGCCGATGAGGAGAGCAATGCCCAGGTCACCACTGAGAACCAGCTCAAGTACCTGACCAGGGTGAGTGGGGTGGGCAGAGGGCAAGGGGCAGGGTGGCAGGGGCAAGGGGGGTGCAGCCTCACCACACCCACGCCCCACCCTTGGCAGCTCCTCGGAGTGGAAGGCTTGACGTTGCGGGAAGCCCTGACACACAGGAAGATCATCGCCAAGGGCGAAGAGGTGAGGCCCAGCCTTTGCTTCCCCAGCTGGTGGGGCACCACATGTTCCAAGGCAGCCCTCCCACTCCCATCATTCCCCCTTCCCTGGAGGGCTCAGAGAGGCACAGCAAGCTGGCCAAGGTCACACAGGAAGCGGGACAGAGTTGGGCTGGAACCAGACTCTCACCTTGGGAATGAGGCCTCTTGCCCTTGTGCCATCTTCTCTCTGGTGTGGTTACTCAGTGCTCCCCTGGCATCCCTCTACCACCACCCTCGGCTCACTGGAGCTGGGAGGGGAGGGTGGTCACAGTCTCCTGGTCTTCTGCCTGAGCCAGAAGGGAAGGTGAGATGCAAAACTGTCTGTGGCGTTCATCTCCTTGTCGCATCCTACGCTGGCAGCTCCTGAGCCCACTGAACCTGGAACAGGCTGCATATGCACGAGACGCTCTTGCAAAAGCCGTATACAGTCGCACCTTTACCTGGCTGGTCGGGAAGATCAATAGGTCACTGGCCTCCAAGGTGAGGCTCGGTCCATGCTGCTCCCAAAGCTGGCAAGGACGGCGGTCCAGGGAGGCTCAGGGCTGGAGCAGGGGGTGGTGAACAGTGGGACCCACGCTCTCGGTTACGGCTGGCCCTAGGACGCTGAGAGCCCCAGCTGGCGGAGCACCACGGTTCTTGGGCTTCTGGACATTTATGGCTTTGAAGTGTTTCAGCACAACAGGTCAGTGCCACCCTTACCTTCTGCCTGTCTCTTCTCCTGTCCCCCCATCCTGGTCCCTCTCTTCTGTCCCCCACCCTCAATCATTCCTGCCCAGTGACTCCCCCAGCCAGCCTGGGTCCTGCTCTGTGTTCTTACTTTATCTGCTCAGGGGCCTCGTCCTGTCTTTTCCCTCTCCTGTTCTGTGTCCCCTTGAGCTACCATGGGCTTTTCTCTTTCCCGCACAGCTTTGAGCAATTCTGCATCAATTACTGCAACGAGAAGCTGCAGCAACTCTTCATCGAGCTGACGCTCAAGTCGGAGCAGGAGGAATACGAGGCAGAGGGCATCGCGGTGCGTGCAAGCCTGCGGGTGCCCCCATGTACCACAGGGAACCCAGGCATCGGGGACCCCCGGGAGAAGGTTCTAAGACCCCACGATGATGCCTCCCCTCCCTTTTCCCCCTCAGTGGGAGCCTGTTCAGTATTTCAACAACAAAATCATCTGTGACCTGGTGGAGGAGAAGTTCAAGGGCATCATCTCCATTTTGGTGAGTGCTTGGCTCCTCCCAAGGCCTCGGGCTGGGATCCGGCTGGGAGGATGTCCCCCCATCCATCCCCTTTCTCTCCAGGCTGGTCCACAGAGGGCCAGAGTTTGGGGATGAGCAGGGATAGGGCAGGGCTGTGTGTGGAGGGTGGGGTGAGGTGCTGGCCCAGTCTGGAAGCTGTCTGTGGGAGGCTCGCTGCATGGTGCCCCAATCTTCTCTGCTCTCGGGCGCCCATACATCCCTCCCTCTGTGCCACACTCCCAGGATGAAGAGTGTCTGCGCCCTGGGGAGGCCACAGATCTGACCTTCCTGGAGAAGCTGGAGGACACAATCAAGTACCATCCGCACTTCTTGACGTGAGTGGGCTGCAGGGCTGCTTAGGGTGGGGGCCCACGTGGGGCAGAGGCTGTGGAAGGCGGGGCCCGTCCACAATCCCAAAACACCAGCCACAAGGAGATGACCAGGGGAGGTGATAAGGTAAGTATGGCTCTTGTGCATCCAGAAAGTAAGAAGCTAGTAGCATGGCTTCCTTCTCATGCTTTTTCGAAAATAAAACTTGCTAGGATTTTTTAGCTCCCTTATTTGGAATTTGCTTTTTCTTTAAGGAATCTCCTAACACAGGGAGGGGTAGAAACAAGCACCTCTGCCCCAGCTTGGTCCTACATATTTTATGCACATCATCTCTTAACCTGCAGTGACCCTTTCTGGAGGTGTTCTTGGTGTTCTTTCCATTTTACTGAGACTCAAAGAGGCCAAGGCATTTGCCCAAAGTTATCTCACATCTGGGTTGCAGAGCTGGGGCTCAGTCCCAGGGCTGTCAAATGCCAAAGCCCTGAGTATTTTTTGCTTATTAGTATAATAAAAACTTGTTTCTGATTACAAAAGTGATACTGCTCATTAGAGAAAAGTTGGAATGTGTGCAAAAGCCACTTGTAATCCTGTCACCCAGAGGTCATCCCTGTTAACAATGTGAGGCATTTCCTTCCTGCCTTTTTCTATACATTTTTTTTCCACAGTCGAGAACTTGTGTATAAGGCTCAGGATAATGTTATATCATCAAACAGAAAATGTTCCTCAAAACACTTCCTCCAATGGCTCTAACCCACGGGTACTCCAGGGTTCTCACCCAGCCTTCGGGGGCCCCTGGCCAGCCCCCAGGTTTCTATTGCAATTACCAAGGCTGCCACAGACATCTCTATGCCTTAAAT